GATTACGGTAATGCACACATCAGTGGGTTACTGTATTTAGACTACAGTTTTGCAGTAGGTGTAATATCTAACGAGGAAAAGAAAGGATTTCTGCTGCCAAGAACGTCATGGAATTCAAGTACAAAATAGACGAATTTTAGTGTTCTTTATATAAGGATCGGATTTATTGTGAATCAATCAAAATTTTCTGTATAGGAAATTATGACTGGGTCCCAATCGCTTCAGTCTGAACCAAAAAGTATAAATTCGTCAATTAGGAGGTTGCGTTCACAAGCCTTATGCAACAATGTTCGATGGGAATTCCTTTTTTTTGAGATTGTGGTCTCCAAAAATTAGGCATTGGAAGTTTGAATTCGGGAAAGCGTAAAATTGCTCCGCTAATTATTCGAACTAGTTATTCGAAATTGAAAATAGGTGTACATCAGATCTACTGAAAAATGATTTTCTAGTTTAACATTCTTTTTTCTTTTGTTGAGCATTGCAATTTGGTCTCAAATGCACTCTCTACCTCATCATCTCACTCATCTGGAATCAATTTCACTAAATTCTCAACTATTTCAATCCATTATTTGCCCCAACTACCGCATCCTTTGCGTGACCACTACGCTCATAATGCGGAATGTCGTGCATTTTCTAATACCTCATTTGTGTATGGATGATCGGAAATCTGCTGAAGGCTTCGCGATGTCTGGGAGTGAATAAGAAAACTCAATTTTTTTGAATGTGGAAGAATTTTATCACGGTTTTTCATAGCTAGAAAATAACTCATATAACATAGGGAGGGAAAAAAATTTATGGTTAAACCGTCAAATGAAGAGATGTATGGCATTTTTGTCGTAGCATGATTAAGCTTTATTGGGAAATGTTCTGCTAGTATCGAGAACATGATTTTATTTGTCAAAGATAAAGGAATATTTTTAAGAAGCATTATTTATCAGATGGTTGAAATTTTCGTAGCTCCGATTTTTTCGGTCTTGTATCTTACTTTTTTTGGAACAAAATACACTTATAGAGGTTTTTTTCGCTTGTCTTCTTACCTAAACTTAGCTGCCATTTATTTTATCTGTATAATATGTTCAAGAAATTCCCAAAGTCTGATTTTTGAGATTTCAAAGCGTTGTTAAGAGATTATCGTAATTTCTCTAAAATACCTGCATCAAATAGGTTTTCTCACAAGCATTCATTACACTGAGATATGATCAGTCTGATGATTCATATTGATTCCGCACAAGTTTCTAAAGCAAATTCTTGAACACGTTTCATCAGCTGAAAACTCATAGAAGCCTCAATTCTCGAAGTTTCTTTATAAAGCCTGCAAATCTTCTTAATATTTTTTGACTACGACTTGCATACGTGGTAATTCAATACTCCAGAGACTGAAAGAAGTGCAGAGTTTCG